CCGACGTTAGTCGTGTTCCTGGACCTTAAGGCGGCATTCGACTCAGTGGATCGTGAGGTTCTGTGGCAGTGTCTGTCATTGAAAGGTGTACCAAAGAAGTACATTAACCTTATACAAGCTCTCTACTCGAACACCACTGGTCGGGTGAGAGCATATGGCGAACTGTCATCTGAATTCTCTACATCAAGTGGTGTCCGTCAGGGCTGTCCACTCTCTCCATTCTTGTTTAACTTTGTCGTAGACATCCTCTTAGAGTTAACATTAAGCTCGTCAGATTTTTCAGGGGTTGACCTTCTACCAGGAAAGTCGCTTACTGATCTAGAATATGCCGATGACATAGTTCTATTCGGTGAAGACGCTGACAAAATGCAGAGTCTTCTGACTACCATAAGCAACAATGCGAGCATGTTCGGGATGCGGTTTTCCCCCTCGAAATGCAAAATGTTGCTTCAAGACTGGGTTGCATTGGCACCTGAACTAGTGATAGGCAGTGAAGTAGTCGAGCGTGTTGATCACTTCACTTATCTGGGGAGTCTCATCAGTGCTGACGGTCTGGTGACTGACGAAATCTCAGCTCGGATACAGAAAGCTCGATTGGCTTTTGCCAACCTGCATCACTTATGGCGTAGGCGTGATATCCGTTCGCTAACCAAAGGACGGGTGTACTGCGCAGCAGTTCGTTCCGTTCTCTTATATGGCTGTGAAACATGGCCGTTAAGAGTAGAAGATGTTCGTAGGTTACTAGTATTCAATCATAGATGTTTAAGAAGCATTGCTCGTATATCGTGGGACAACCGAGTAAGCAATGCTATCGTTAGGAAACGAGTACTAGGTAAGGATGGCAGATCAATAGATGAAGTATTGAAACTTCATCAGTTGAGGTGGTTGGGACATGTGTTACGTATGGCTAACCACCGACTGCCCCGACGAGCTATGTTTTGTGGTGTAGGAGTAGGTTGGAAGAAATCTAGGGGCGGCCAGACCAAAACATGGCACAAATCCATGAAGTCACTGACAAGTGGACTGAGTCATGTTGGTAGATCTAGACTACCTGGTTGGGGTCCGCGAGACGAAAGTCATCATTGGTTAGAGACCTTGAACGACATGGCTGAAAATCGTTTGCAGTGGCGCAGGTGCATCCACTCTTTGAGCTCTCTCAAATCCTAATCTTCTGGATTCGTCAATACCTCTGCCTTTGTCTTTATAATCTTATCTCACTGAATTATATTTTTTGAATAATATCTTCGAACTCTAGTCTTCTTTATTAACATTAATACCTCTACTATCTTTATCACTATGGGATTTGATTTGACATTTGCGTCTCTGTGCTAATAATGTGGTATGGCAACATGAACTTATGTACATACGTACGAAGTTCTACGTTGCAACTGACTGACTGACTGACATTGATTGTTTAAATATTTAATGAATCGACTATATACTCTAAGTAGTTCGGTTGCACTGGTCCGAGTGTCTACATATCAGATAAACGTGAAGACCAAGTTATTTACTTTTCTCATAATGCAGTAATATTCATATATACTGCTTTCTCGAAAGTTCCAGAGTTCTCTCTCTGTTGAGTGTTTTTTTTCGGGGGAATTACTTTTCGCACATTTTAGTTTGACATCATAACGTGACTCATTTAAGGAGTAAACATTTCCATTAATCTGTAAAGTCTCATCACTCTTAATGTGTTACTGTTTGATATCAAATAGATTGAAAAATATCCACATGTTGTGATTTCATAAGCCTTTGGGGTCATCTGAAGCTACTAGCCACTGTCTAACTAAATTAGAATCGAAATTATTTTCTTTACTTTATTAGCACTTAACTTCTATGCTATCAGGTCTTCCAGAACAGTCATGAATCATATATATATATATATATATATATATATATATATATATATATATATATATATATATGAGTGCATTCAACTTTTGTTTCATGGATGAAAATAATAGATTCTTTCTGTTTAGATTTTCTCATCTGGTTGTCTCCATGTTTTGAAACAGGTTATAACACAACTCACTTTTCACATTCTCTTGATTTAAATTTCCATTTATTCATTTTTCTTATAGCGATATACCATTGGATACGTTTTATTCATGTGTACATTGGTAAAAGTTAAAGTGGCTTTTAAACATCAGTAAAGGTGGAAGTTTTCAAAACAACATAGTACACAATTCTGAGATTTCGAGATAAGTTTACCGTAAGGGATTTAGGTAACTGTTTACTAAAAAAATGATTTTTCCGAAGGGTTAGTGGTATTTGTAGACTTACATCACAGAATGAAGTTGGGCGATTCGGGTTGTTTATAGGTATGTTCAGAAGATTTTTCTGCATATTAGAACCCTCGAGTAGGCAGTGCCTGGGTTAAGGGCAAGGGTACTAAGTAAAGATGACAAAACTATTGATGAAACAATGACATCTCATCGACTGAAGTAGTTTGGACACAATACGCATGCTCAACCTCTGCCTAACTGGACGGGCAATGTTTCCAGGTATTGAAAGATAGATAGGAGCAGCCAGATGAAGATGTGTCAAAGTCCATAAAATGCTTGACAGTTGGAACGAACTGTGGTGATAGGTGTATACTACCTAGTTGGAGTCCACGCGGTCATTGTCTCTAGTGTCATGACTGAGAATCGTTTACAACGGTGAAGATATACTCACTTTATATCTTCTACTAGATCTTAAATCTCCTAATTTTTTTTTCTTCCATGAATCTATATTTCCTTTTCCTTTTTTTTTGAATCATGTATATTCCTAGTTTTTCTAACCAACTCCTGTTCTATTACTGCATATACCATACTGGTATCTGGCTGTACTAGTATGGTTTGCCAACTTAAACTGATGCACATATGTGCAAGGTATACGTTGTGTTTGACTGATTGATTTATCCCAACATGTAAGATTTATTTCTTTTTTAAAGCTTATCAATGTAACAATCGGTCTAATTAATGAGAAATGATTAAGTACATTTTTTAATATTTATTTCAGGAAACAAACTGATTCATCTCACCTACCTGAAGTAATGAATTCACCAGTGGTTATCACTGATCCTGTTACTCCTCCAACCCTTGTTCCAAAACATAGGCGAGGTCAGCCAAAAAATACTCAAAGAAGACGACGTGCTAATACAAGTACTTCATCTACTTCTTTGAATTCCAGTAAGATGTCAACTTCTAATTCAACTGAGAATGATTCAACTATTCATCAGCCATCTACTGTTCGAGTATGTCGATACCTTTTTAACAATTTTGTTTCCTTGCGCGTTTTACTTTCATTTTTAGTTTCGGTCAAATAAGATTAAAAGTTAATTACATCCTAACGGTTGTTTTAGATTGGTACAGTAGTCTAAAGTTTCGAAATTATCCAAACATTCAGCAGAAACATTGACTTGGTAATAATTGTAAAGTTTTCAGTGGGAATTTATTTAGAAAGATAAGAGAAAAAGAAATATCAAAGTATTCATTTGTTTAGTAAATTTGAAGAAACCAATTATTTCCAAGGAAAATTCATAAACCTTACCAATTTACCATCATAATATTTATTCCCTTGATTGATTTGTAAATCTTTTTCGCCAAAGTGTATTAGATCTAGCTATTGTCAAGTATATGATTTCGTTGTACTCCAAAGTAATTTCTGATAGTCACATCTCAAGATTTAAAGATCTTGTTGAAGTTCTTAAACTCTAAGTTTAAATTGTTTACAGAAAAAAGTTTTAACAACATATCTGCCTTTATCTTCGATGTAATTTTGTGAAATAACATGCAGTATGTTTCAGTTGGATTAATCACACAAAGTCATCTCCGTAGTTGTTTGTTCTTTCTGTCCAGACTTTGGTTTAGAAAACCACATCGTAAATCCATCAACAGCGAACGGTTGTGCAATATACTCATACTCATTGAACATTTGTAGATTACAAGTATTTTATTGTATATGAAACACTCGACTATGGTAAAACGTTCAAGTGAGTATTAGAAACTTCAGGTACAGGGTAGTAGGCATATCGGTTGATGAGGTTGTAGTGATTGGGACGTGTGTTACTCATACCCAACCATCGTCCATTTTCATACGATGTTGTCCGGTGTAAGGAATAAGTTGGCAAAAAGGTAGGACCGACCAAACGAGATCGTGATATCAGTTCATGAAATAATTGACTGTTGGTTCAATTGTGATTGAGATCCACCTGATTATCGAGACGTCGGGCGATATGAATCAGAGTCGACTTCACTAGTGGGGATGGATTCAGTCTTTATCTGTTTCTTGTTCCCTAAATTTCAAAATCATTTTATACTTTCTTATTCCGCTAATTCATTGTTAAAATTATGAAGCGATTGTATCAAAATGACGGATAGTAAATCATATAAATGCATTTTTAAAGACGATGGTTATTATTAACTGAATTTCTTGTTTGGTGTAACTTCAGAACGAAATCAATATGAATGCAAGTCTTTTAGTCTTATTAAACTAGATAATGTCCTCATATTTCTGTTCTACCTTTTACTAGTTAATAATCATTTATTCTAACTAAAATAGTAATGATGGTAATATTAAAAATCCTCTCTTCTGAATAACCAGATATTATTTAATTACTGCATTATGCAATACTTTCTAATCTATTTTTAGAAGAAACCGAGGGTACAACTTTCTTACAATAGGTGAGTCTTACTTTATACCAATTTACAGTCAAAGTATTTGTTCAACTTATATTTACTTCCAGCTTCTATAACGAACTGATATAATTCTTGTAAAACTTGGAGTTAACATGCAACTACTCCATCTTTTATCGGTTGTAAAGCTTTCGTTTTCAAATCCTTCAATTCTAGGCTCAGTGACGTCATATTTTGTAAAAATGACATGTACAATAATAATCTCATTGTTCATTAGGGTTTATTTGGTGTACGCGTCCAGCAATCAGAAGCTTCATATTTTGATGAAGCAACTAAAAAGTCCTCAGTTTTCTGTATTAGATTCGATTGTTAATCATTGCTATTTTACTCCAGACTAAGATAATTACGTTGCTATTTATTCCTTCTTTGGGTGGGTCATCGTTTTCATCTGCGGTCTTTGTTAGGTAAATTTTAGTCTACTTATAAGTAGCTTGAATATATTTAACCGAAAAATCCACTCACCCATCACATAAAGTAAGCTGGAAACAATATTCTTTCTTATTCAGATACGGAAAACCCAGTTGTCATTTAGAAAAAGGCAATTAAAATATGGCTTATCGGAATTAATTTTTTTTATCGTTGTCTATCACTTGGAAAGTATAATAAATAAGAGAATGACCTACTTGAGTGGATATAATTGCTTAATGGGAAAGCAGGTGACTTGAAAAGGACTTTATAAAAAGGATTAGGATGATCACATACAAAACTGGATCATTATACAGCTGGTTCTCAATGACTCTATAGCTGACATAAGCATTCATGATAAAAAATTCTATCTTCTCGTTAATCTTTCTGAACCTGCCTGTCTAAAATTAAAATTAATCAGTTCAAGGACAATTATTCCTATTGTATCAAAATTTAAAAGATTTGTCTGTGATTTTGTTCATAATTTCAAAGTGTTCAGAAGCAGTTTGATTTACTCATGATTCTAATGTGTAATTTGAAACGACCCTTATAAAATGTTTTTTTATGATCCAGTAATGAAGTACAGATGTTTTGCTTAGCTTTTTATTTACGTTTTGTATGTGTTTTCACTTATTTAATGCACAGAATTGATACAGATGGTCACAAAAAATAAAGTGTACCACATAATTTCAGAGATAAGGAAAGTGGGTTACGATCAAAGTTAAAGAAAGCTAGTGATGTCAATCTAGATTGCCTAAATCAAAGTAAATACTCGTAGATGATTCTAAGCTATTGAGTAATAGACATGTCAGCATGTAAAGCAGCACCGCATACTTTTGATGAAAATCCTCATAATATTCTGCAACCATAAACCAGCTGTAAATCAACTACGCATAAGATTGTGATACATTATTCTGTTAGACACAAATAACCAATTTCCTATGAGAATCGAAATCTTGCTTGTTGCGTTCAAATTTGCATTCAGTAATTATTAATCTTACTACATTGATAAAGTATTTCGCACTTTATTCATAGATATTGTAGTAGTGCAAACGAAAGAGCAAACAAACAGTGTTTCTACACCCGAATATGTGTTAATATTGCTGAATACCTTTTTGTTTTACTGTGTTCATTACACTTAACTTTATGGACAAAAAAAATACATAAGAAAGTTATAAAAATATTACGGGTTTGTGGAATAAATGTTTGTCTCAGGTTCAATGTTCACTCCTTTAATTACATTTTTTCCTATTTAAAATCTTTTAGTGAAGACGAGCCAATAGCTGCACGTTTACGACGTAGCACGCGTGTGTCTTATGTGGGAAAGAAAGCTTAAATGTGAGTTATTATTATTATGTTCGTGTAGTATGAATTAATATTGTTGATTCAAATATTTGTAGTTTTTTTTTAATGACTAACGGAAAAATCTGTGATTTACATCACTGTATTTTTCGTGCATATATACGCGGTTGCGATGTTTTGTAGTTATTCATGTGCTCAGAAGTTGTGTTTTTTAAGCCACATTTCCTCAAGATATATACTCTGGAAAAAATTTTTTTATAAGCTGAGCGATCATACTATGATAACATGTTCATTTATAAAGTTTTATAATAATCATTCTATTAGTAGTTATGTTTGTAAAAATGAGATATTTTTCTCCATCAGCCAGCGTTACCTATGGTCTTAATTATTATGATTTCAGTAAAATCCGTTGTAGCAGATGTGGTATCAGTAGTAGTACTGAAGAAAAGATCTAATAATTCTCTTGAACAGGTCGATGTATTTTATAGCCTCTGGAATGTACATACCCACCTGAACTTGTAGATAGACATTCACCTACTCAAAGTCAGTACTTAACTATTGCTTACTAACCCTGTACCTAGTTTCTTACAGTTTCTCCTACCATTATTATTTATCAGATCTACTATGTATCTTTTGGGCAGCCCCCAAATACCTTGATACAACCGAATGTAAGGAGAGTTTACTCACCCTCTTGAAATGCTCTCATACGATCGCGCGTCTATAGCCACTACCAGGCAAGTCCTATTTACTTCCTTCTAGTAAAACAACAGTTGTTTACCAAACTGAGAGAACGATAAGCGAGTGTCCGGCGCTTTACTGGGTTATTGGGTCTGGAGTATCCAACCTGATGGTGCACATAGACTTCAGGATCCTGACGGAGCGTATGACATATGAACCTATCGTCAGTCACCGGTGACCATGGGACTGTATCTCATAACATTGCTCCATCGCCTTGTAGATTAGACTTTTAAGTCAAACGCCCGAGGAGTGGCCTTCTAAGAAAATCATCTGCTTCGGTTTGGATACCCAGATTAGGTTTCCTGCTAGCACACACACACAAATTTAGTGGTTTGTGCGCTGTATACATACTTAGGTGTCCAGTTGTTACCAATAAGTATGGATTTAAATAAATAAAACTCTTGGTCATGCGTACATTGGTATGTTTAGTTAGTGAGGATGTACATACGTACGAAGTTCTACGTTGCAACTGACTGACTGACTGACTATCAAAATCGATTGACCATCTATGTTTTGCACATTTTTCTTTTTATGACTGAACAAGTTTAAGTCAGTTATTCTCTTCACTATTTTTATAGGTAAATATACTGGCAGATAATCATGGATAGATGTTTGGCATCAAATAATGAAATGTTATATTTATTAATTTATTGATATGTATGTATATTCAATGAAGATTTTATAAAATAAAATAATTTATTTTAATCTTTCACTATTAATAGTTATCTTGTAATTTCAAGCTTCGCTTTTTACACGTTCTACATTGTTCTATTTATTCACCTGTCTCTTTCTATGTATGTAACTGTATTATATCATCTGTATATGGTTGTTGTAAATGGTTGAATTGATGACAATTGTAGTTACATTTTCTTGTGTTCATCATCTCGCATTCCCTTTCACTTACTTCCTTACCTCCCCTCTCAACCGTTATCTCTCTTTTTTCTAACGCATAATTGTGCATAGATTTGTGTATACACTCTTGTTTTCAGTTTTATAATGAACAAATATATTTTTTTAAATAAAAATAGTTCTTACTTATCCCTTGTTAACTTTCATGGAGCCATAGGACAGCAGCATAAACCAGCATTCTCCAACCAACTCTGTCCTCAGTTCTCCTTCCCAGTTCTTCCCAGTCGCTATTCATTCTTTCATGTTAGCCTTCCAATTACCGGCCCAGTGTGCCCTTTGGTCTTGAGGACTCCAAGTCAAGACTTGCCTCATAACACAGTTAAGTGGTGTCCACAATATGTGTCCTATCCACCCTAAGCGTTTTTTCCTAAGTTCCTGTTTCGTTGGAAGCTGGTTTGTCTCCTGCCACAAAGGTGGCTGCTAATGATGTCTGACCAACAGATGTAGAGTATCGTGTGAGTGTAGAAAACTCGACTAACACCTGTTTCTTTTAGATGTTGGCTTTCGTAGTTCTCTGAGTTTCAACTCCACACAATAGAACTGGTTTGAGGTTCGTATTAAAAATTGTGACTTTGGTGTTGGTTGATAGTCGTCTTGAGTACTAGATATTCTCCCATTGTAGAAATGCTGCTCTTGAACTGGTAATCCGTGTTTTCACATTTGCATCAGCCCTCCTTTGTTTGTTAATGATAATGCCCTGCTATGTAAAAGTTGTCTGTATGATGGTGATAATCCTCTCAAGCACACCATGATTCTCCAACACTTTTGAAATCGTTTCCTGGTATTGATAGTAGAGTGGTGCCCAAGATCATTCTCGTACGTACTATGATCTATTTGCTTTGGTAGCTTGATAATTTGTCCACCGTTCCAGTCTGTTAGCACTTGTTTATCCTCCCAAGTATTTGTGAAAAAAAACGTGGAACATCTTTACAGCTACTGTTATGTCTGCTGTCAATACCTCAGTTAATATGTTATCTGATCCTGCTGCTTTGCCACTCTTAATTTGTGTGATCGTCATGTCGATTTCGTCCATTGTTGATAGGTTAGCATCAACTCGGAGGTCTGAAGGTGATGTTTTGATGTTGAATAGGTTCAGTAGAGCTGGTCTATTAAAAAGTTATT